GGATTGACATTGAAACAGGCGTGCCGCAAGGAGGAATACTTTCTCCTATAATGTTTTCTCTATTTATAAATTCTATTACTTCAGTTCTCAACTGTTCGTACCATCTGTATGCAGATGATCTTCAGCTCTATGTGCAATCTAGAGTTAATGACCTTAACCATAATATTCACAAAATCAACCACAACCTTGATGCCATAAGAGATTGGTCGTACAGACATGGTGTTTCGGTTAACCCTTCCAAATGTAAGGTAATGGTTATAGGTAGTAGCAGAATATTAGCCAAGATTAATAACAATGATCTTTCTCCCGTATTTTACAATGGAACATTGCTGCCATTTTGTAAATCTGTTAAAAATCTTGGCTTACATATAGACCATACCTTGAGCTGCGGAGTTCAAGTTGCTGAAATAAGCCGTAAAGTTACTGCCACCTTACGATCACTTTGCCGTCTCAAAAACTTTCTGCCTTTTAAAACTAAACTTCTACTTGTCCAGACTTTGATATTACCCATTATTGATTATGCGGATGTGTGTTACCCAGATCTATCTCAATATCTTCTCGATAAGTTGGAGCGCCTTCTCAACAATTGCATTAGGTTCATTTTCGGCTTACGTAAGTATGACCATGTTTCTCAGTACCGTTCTAAGCTTAAATGGCTTTCTATTCGTCAAAGGCGTAGCTCCCGAATTTTACAAATACTATATTCAATTTTAAATGACCCAAATTCTCCTTCTTATCTTAAGGATAACTTTCAGTACCAATATTCTACTCATGATAGAGTTCCCCGTTCCCAAAATAGTCTTAAAATTCGTATTCCACCACATAAGAGTGGTTTCTTTAATTCCTCTTTTACTGTGCAGTCCATACTGCTCTGGAATGCCTTGCCTATTCATATAAAAAAAACCAGTAACAAACAATATTTTAAAAGACTTGTTCGAGAATTCTTTAGCAGGAATAATACCACCTGATTTAGCCGACTTTTGTTTTTCTCACTCTTTCGCTTTGTAATTGATATTTTGTATAATATGTATTTTAATATGCATCATGTTATTTTATTTTTGTGTTATATTATATTATATTTATTTAGAGATTTTGTATATATATATGTATATTACATCCGTTTATATTTTTTATTTATATAAGTATATTTTATCCGTTTATATATTTACTATTAATTTTTTTTTTCTGTTTATTACAAAGTAGATAATATTAAGTTTGTATAGTTTAAAAATATTTTATTTATTTGCATTTTGTTATAAGATATAATGTTTTTACTTATTTATTAATTAATGAGTGGTGTTGCACCTACCACAGCTTCTCAAATCATCCAGGGTTGACTGGTAGAGAATGCCAAAAGGCATTAAGTCCGCCCTTTATATCCCTTATTATAAGGTAGATGTAAAAAAGAATAAATAATAAAATTGTCTCTATGTAGAGTAGTTTTATTTCTTAGACAGAAAGTCAAAGATATTTACTATCTTATTCCGAAAGTCCAGCAAAAATCGATGCTGTACTTCAAAAGATATAGCAGTAACAATATTTCACAAAATGGCTAACCAAAATGGCCGCCAAGTCACTATTATTATCAGATGGTACGATAAATGATCTTTTTTTTTTATTTATTTATTCATACAAAGGTAAGTACATTATTTTTACTATTCTCTCGCCAAACTGCAATCAGTTTGTCGGCGAGTACACGCTCTTAAAACTATATATTATTATGCACTATCACCTATACAAATACAATTAATTATAATAAACAAAAGAAAATAAAAGATAGTTATATCAAATTTACCTACTACAATTTCATAATATTTAGAAATTATAAAACTAAAAAAAAATAATAATAATGAAAAAAAAAATACAACACAAACAATAAGCAAATCAATGAAATATAAAAAGCGATTAATAAAAGTATGCAACAATATGTAATGTGTTATAGCTCTGTTAATAATGTCCTTTTCAGAGAGGATTTTAATAAGTTTTTGCTTAATTTATTTTTATTTTTATTTTTATTTGGAGGCGTTTCTCTTAACCATTTTATTTTGTTAAAGATTCTGGGTACAATGTATTTTTTCAAGCGTTGTCCGTAATAGTTATTTGCACTAGGCTCTTCAAGTTTTTTTTTCCTTACCTTACGCGTGTTGTAAGTGTTAATAATTGGTACTTTATAGTCGTCAGTATAGTAATGTTCAATTGCTATTAAATATTTTAGCCGTGTATCAACAGGGAGTATTTTACACATAGGAAATAATTTTTCATATTGTTTTTTACAACTCTTCTTATCTTTTGAATTAATTAAAAATTTTATAATACGTATTTGTAGGCTTTTCACTTGTTTTATATAGGTACTAAATGTGCGGCCATAAACAATAAGACCATAGTTAATTAAAGACTCAACTAATGCATAGTAAACCACTAATAGAATATGTTTACTTACTACTTTTCGAATTTGATAGAATTCACCTAAAATGGACCTTAATTTTGAACATACTTCTTCAATGTGTAATTTCCAATTAAAACTGCTATCTACCAACAATCCTAAATATTTGTAACTATTAACAAACTCTATTTTGGCACATTGACATGGTAATTTTCTCCTATGCAAGCACTCATAGTCATGCCCTACAATACCTATTTCTTCATAGCGTACATTCTTAGCTAGCCTGTTGTATGGAGAATGTATATGCATACACTTTGTTTTTTTCAAATTCAGTATTATGCCGTTATCATGTGCCCATTGGGTAATCCGATCAAAGTCTTCCTGTATTTTATCACAAGCTTCATGTAAGTTTTTGGAAGCATACAATAGGCACATGTCATCGGCGTACATGTAGGTATCGCAGTGATGCACTACATTTACCACACTATTCACCAGTATAATGTACCCTACGGGGCCGTACACAGAACCGGTTGGTACACCGAGAGTGATATCTTCTTCAGCGCCAGTCGTCCCACTCACCGTAGTGCGAATAGTCCGATTTGATAGATAATTACGGAACCATTCATTTACAGGGCCCCGAATTCCACATTCCTCCATAGCCCCCAGAAGTACCTCATGGTCCAGAGTATCAAATGCCTTCTTATAGTCTATGAAAAGATCCACAACCTGTTTACCATTATTAAGACTGCAGTTAATTGCTTCCGAAAACTTAGTTAACGCAGTACTAGTACTCCATCCTCTCCTAAAACCATGTTGACAATCAGTAATAATGTTAAATTTCTCTAAGAATCTATTCACTCTTTGTATGACTACCTTTTCTACAATTTTATTTATTACTGGAAGAATAGCAATTGGTCTGTAATTTGTGTATTCATAATGGCTGCCACCTTTATAAATGGGTCTTATTATGGATTTCTTTAATTCATCTGGATAAATACTTTTTTTTAAACATAAATTGACAAAATTTGCTAAAATTGGACTTATTTCATTTTTTATATACTTTAAATCTTTAACTCTAATTTTATCTACCCCTGGTGACTTTCGTTCTGACAATTTATTTATAATTTCTTTTATTTCTGACGAGTTTACTTTTACAAACCTGAAAGATACTTCGCTCGATTTAACATAACTATTTCTATTTAGGAAATTAGTGCTACATCTATGTTTTATACAGTCTATTTCTTTAGTGAAGGTTTTTGAAAATTCACTACATATATTGTATATATTATCCCTTTTACCGAGATATTTCAAGATAACGCTATCTAGATTAGGCTTAGGGCGTCCTATCCATGTATTGATATTTTCCCATATTTTTCTAAAATCCCCGTTACAATTATTTATTTCCTTTTGCCTATACCTATTTTTAGCACTATTAATCAATTTGTTCACCTTATTCCTAAATGAAGTGTACTCTAACCTTTTGGTCATATTGTTAGGCGATGCTTTCCACTCCCGAAATAGCATATCACGCTTTAATAATTTATCATATAGTTCTTTATTGACCCATGGTTGACTAATTCTTTTATTCTTTAAAGTTATTTTAATTTTACTTTCCTCAGAAATCTTAGAGAATGTAAAACATATTGATTCATATAACAATATTGGGCATAATATAAACAAAAATTGTGACCAGTCCGCATTCTTAATTTTTCTTTAACTAACTTATTATCTATTACGAATTTGTATTTACATACTTCATTATAGTTATTGCACACTGTATGCTTACGGTCAATATCAAGGGTAATACCTACTGCACTGTGATCTGAGATGTTGCACTCGAGTATAAATGAAGCCGTCGGCCTGCAACCGGAGCGCGTCGTCCGTACCCATACATGGTCGATGCAGCTCTGGTCGAGTCGGCCGTTGACGATCGTCTCGCGCGTTATCTCCCTCGCAGGTATAGCACACATGAGGCCGTTTTCACACAGGGTGCATTTATAACGGTTAATTGTCGGGTTTATTATATTTCTTGAGATATCTATATTTGTGTCTCCGATTATGATAAGATCATCCTGTGACGGTATATTCCTTATTAATATTCCTAGTTGATCTATAAATTGATTTTTGTTTTTACTCGGTGGTCGGTAACATGCTATAAGATGTAAAGTTCTTGTTGTCGTAATTATTCGTCCATATATAGTTTCCAGCGCTGTTGTGTTTCCTACTTCCATTTCAATATTTAGTCCTTCCTTCCAGTAGATAAGTATTCCTCCTCCTCTTTTCACTTCTCTGGTACTCGCATAGCTATTACATCCTTGAATCTCATAAAAGGGTAATTCTTCATTCTTTATGTTTACTTCTGTTAAGATTATAATATTTATAGAGCAGCATAATGTTTGTTGTAATAGTACTGTTAACTCATTAAAATGTTTTCTTAGAGACCTAATATTTAGGTGTAAAATATGTATTTTATTATAGTTTGTGTCCCATTGTTTACTCCAAGTAATAATATTTTTAAATCTATTAAATTGTATATCTGTGATGCTTTCATTAAAATTTTCGAATTTTAAGGTTAACAAAAACCACGTAGTGTATCCACATTACGCTAGTTGCATATTTATGCTTTAAGATTTTGTATATCTTTCTCACATGAAATCCTGTGTATTTTAGTTTCGTTTTCTTTTTTAACTAATATATTAGAATTCTGTATCCATATGTATTTATAAATTTGTTTTAGTTCATTCTTTGAGGTCCAAAACAATTGTCGCTTGTATTTAGGTAGGTCCTCATTAATGTAAATCGAACTTTTGGATTTATTACCATATACGTGATCATTCGTTAATGTCGTTTTGCGAAGACTGAGCCATTTATCACGTGCCGATCTCGACCGAAGAGTAACTATAACTGGTTGCGGCTTTGTTCTTTCTGGTTTTGGTCTTCCTACCCTCTTTACGTCGACAATATCAGCCTTGCACAAGTTATATTTTTCTGCTATAACATTCACGACCTCCAAAATTTGTTCATTATTTTGCATCTCCAGACCAGCAATTTCTATATTATTTTCCTTCTCCCTCTGCTCTATTTCCAAGATCCTTTCCTCCATTGCTTTGTTACATTTTTCCAGATAGGTATTTTTATTCTCCAAACTTTTGATTTTTCTCTCAGCTTCCTCCTTGAATTCAATAATCGATTGGTACTGCTCAGCGTAGAAGTCTACTGTATCCTTGAGTTCTTCAATGCTCCTTTCCATTTTATAGATAATCTCTAACTTTTTGTTTACCTCACCTAGCAACATTTCCACTGACGTCTTACTGAGATCAACATCAATCATGGGCTTGCTAATTCTTTCAGGGCTTTCATTCTTTTGGCATTCTTCACAAATTTCTTTCTGCATATGCTTCTTAAGGTTTCGAACACATTTTTTGTGAAATACAGACTCACAAGAACCCTTACACTTGATCACCTCATCCTTTGATAAGGACACATACTGTTTACACTTCTTACACTGCACCATTTTAGAGTATTTATAAGTTAAACAATTTATTTTTTGTATTGCACCGTTACGATTTTACACGTCCATATACTGTAGGTATTCTATGCACGTCCGCGCGCCGAGCGTGTAGCACACGAATGTGTATCGAAAACCGCATCGAAATCCACCAAAGACTTCCGGAGATACGTCAGTTTTAAAATTTCCAATATGGCGTCCAAAATGGCGATCAAAATTTAAAATATCAATAACTTGGTCAGTTTTTGTCGCAGAGACGCGCGGTTTGGGCTGCCAAAAAAAGCACTCTTTCGACCTTATGTTTTAGTCTTAAAGGAGGCTTCTCTTCGCAATTTTTATAGAGCGTATTTTCGTGTTTATAAGAGAAACTATAATGGGGCAATATTAAAGCCTAAAACCGCAACTCGCTACGACTTCTAGAAACAGAGTTATTTCCGTTTAAAACTTTTTAAAATGGCCACCGATCCAGACGACTAAGGCTTATTTTGGGCGTTTTTCAACAGATTTCACCCGTCTTTGGGCTCATATGAAAGGTGAAAAAATTTTTTGGCGTTTGAAGCCCCTTTTCAATAAATTTTTAACAAAAATAGTAAATTTTTTTAAAAAATTTTGATTTTTTCGGCCAAATTTTGTTTTAAAAATCTACAAAAAGGAGATGTATGAAATTGGGTTGTTAACGATAAATTATAAGCATAAATAAATGGTTTTTATTTTTGTAGTCCTTGGGAAAATCATAAAAACATTTTTTTTTAAACCGAAATAGAAAGCTAATGCTTTTGCTTTAGCAAAAACGAAACGTTTTTAATTATCTTTTTGTTTTATCTATGGCAATAGATAATGAAGGCTATTTTTATAATAAAATAACCTTCCTTACAAAAAAAATCATAATATTGAAACATTGTCGCGAATCTATAGTTATTAATATTGAAAAAAATAATATATTTAGAAAACGATCGAATAGGCTATGTCATTAAATCAAAAAACATTTGAATATTATCCTACACGACTGAATAGGCTGTATGGTTATTGATCATTGCATATTCCGAAGGAGACTTAACTTGGTAACTTTAAGTTTCAGCTTCTCCGCTAGGAGTAAAGTATTCTGTGCAGGCCCGTGACAGCTTAGTTCCAATTTATGCAACTTGGCGCTACCGTCGCAAATTTGTTCTCTGCCTACGGACGCCATTTTGAGCATGTTGACACGCCATATTGTGTTAATGTCAAATCATATTGTCAAAAGTCAAAGTTATCGATATTGATTGATTGCCGCCATAACCGAATTTTCCTAAGTTATTACAATATTCTGTTTTTGTGCTGCTCGTGTGAATATTGCATATACCAACATAATGGTATACAAAAAGTGTTGTGTTGGTGGTTGCAATACAACACATGAAACGCACCGGCTTTTCAGTTTCCCTAGGAACGATAATTTAAGAAATTTATGGATGTCTTTCATAGTGCCGACAAATCCCCAGCTCATTGCACTTTCCAAAGAACAGTTACTTAACAAACACGTCTGTGAAAAACATTTTGATATATTTCAGTTCGACAATGAAGGCAGAAGACTTCGATACTCCTACCCGTCCTTGCTTACTGACAATGAAATAGCTCATGGTGTGCCTCTAATTGCAACAGGTGAGTTATTTTATTACTTTCAATCATGGTACTTAAGACGTCTCTATACATTCTTGGGCCCAAGTGTTAACAAGATGAAAGTACGTATAATAAAGCGTATATATAAACAATTCATAGCTGAAAATCTGGCAAGATTTGTCAATCTAGGAACTTATTGTAAGGAAGTTATTGTAGAATAAGTAAAAGTGAGATTATCTATTGGCTACACTGTAACAGGTGATTTTTCACTATTATTACACAGTAACAGGCTATTTTTCGCTATAATTACTTCAATATTTAAAAGCAAGATCATTAAAAAATCACCAAAAAAGCTGTGGTTAATAATGAAACGAAATGGTCAAACGATTAATGAAAGTTAAAACAACAACAACTAAGTGAAGTGAATATTAGGGATTCTGATCTTATAGATGTGCCAACTTAGAAAATTTTGACTTGATTTAACTCGAGTTGAAATTCACGCAACTTGAGTTAGCAGTACGAATCAGAGTAAATGATTTGTTACAAATTACTTTTTTATAAATTTGTTTTTCTATCTAGCTCTTTGATGGGTTGAGATAATTATAATTTCCTTTTTTATATCTATTAAAACTTATTATGTAGGATTGATATGAAAAGGTATATTTAGTATGTATCATATACTTATGTATTAGTCTAGCTTTAAGATGTAGGTACATAAGCTATTACTAGTTTAATTACAAAAGGTTGAAGTTTAAAGTCAAAATATTCTTAAATAAATTCAATATATTTATTGTGAGTTAAGTGTTACATTTGGCGTTAATTTAAAGTATGATGATACTATATTGATCATAATTAATCAAAATTATATAGGGAATTAAATTACACAACTAGCTATAATAAAATTCTAAATAACAAATTGTTTTGGTTGTAGCTAAATACTCTTTGAAACGCAAAGCACGCACACAACAAACAAATTGCACTTTTACTCTTTTGCTAGCTCACTTGATCCGTTCATGTACAGCAACCCAAACTCAAGTTAGGAAGATTCAACTCGAGTTAACGCATCACTAATCTATCTGAGATCGATTACTTGAATTATTGTTGTAGCTGTTACTTGTTGGAATGTTGATATTTTGTATTTTTTATTATTGTTTCGTAGATAGAGGATTGACTAGATAAAGCATTCGCGTATGCTTTTGAGATAGAAATAGGCGGGAGGTACTTTCACTGGGTTACCAGATATTGTTCCATTTCCCCCGTTATGCGTTTATTTATATTCACAGCACTTACATTCATACAAAAAACTTAATTGTTACCATAAAAAAAGTTCTTATATAATTCAGATGATTAATTAATTTCTCTTGAAAATACATTCTGTGACAAAAACTACTGGCGGAAACGGCGTAAAAACAGAATCATCATTCTGTATTCAACGGCGCATCGACGATTTTACTGGACATTCAATAAACTCTTTGGATTTCGACGATCAGCGACGAGCATTGTCCTGATAACAGCTAAATAATGGTTGACAACCCGCTTTCCAAGCGTTGAAACTATGCCAAATAACTATAATCATGTTTATGTTCAACAGTGGACTTTTGATAGACTGTAAAGATATATATTCTATTTAAATGAAAATATATTGAAATTTAAAAAGGAAAAAGAACTAAATTTTGCGTACTTACACAACTTTTGGAAATATTAACAATGTTACATAAAGTAAAACAAATGAAAACACAATTATATATTAAATATAATTCAATCAAATTAAAATAAACAAACGATTATTTATTAATTTTTCAACACATTAATAAACAATAAATTTAACAAAATTTTTGTCTTCTTTCTAGAGCATTAGTTGTAATGCTTGGTTTGAGTAGCCTTAGAATTTCTCAAAAATATGCATTTGTAAACTTGATTTATACCTTTGCATGGCAGAAATTCTTGGGTGCTGGTCGTTAGAATCAGATTAGGAGTGTATATATATATATATTATTTGCCTTGTATACAATATATTTTAATGGTATAAATAATAAGGTACAACTCCTAAACTATACTTAGATAGGTAATACTTATCTCTTATTTCTTAATTTATTTACACATTAATGTTTATAACACCTTTATAAAAGGGATTAAGGGTGGACTAAATGTCCCATTGGTAGGCATTCCCAGTCAGTTTTACAATTATTATTGCATAATAAATTATTAATTTGTATATTTAGGTCAGGATTTTAAATTACTTATTTATTTATTTTATTTAAATCTTTATTTGCATAAAACATGGTAGTACAGATAAAGTTCCAACATTTGTAAATGAGGATTCATGTTTAATCAATACATCTACAAATAAATATTTTGTCTTTGTCATGCCCCCAATTATTACAAGTCATAATAATACAGAATGTCAGCATTTGAAAATAAAATAAGCAATGCTAGTCAATTTTTAATACATACAGAACAATGTCAAAAATCATAACTACCAACAAGATCAAACTTATATCACTTATGGAGAAACAACAAGATACAACAAGAAATTATAACATTTAAAAAATTATCTTAATTATATTATAAATTACATAAGTTAAGCATATTTAGTCCATCTAAAACAATGAGGCTTAAAATGTTTTGAGCATACACTGCTAAGTTTTGTTGGTTACCTATAAGCACTACCAGTAGCGATTATCCAACTGTTACTGATAGCTGATTCCTTAGGAAAGTTGTGAAATAATATATTTAAAAGAAATTAATATATTAAATATATAGTACACTTTTATATCAAGGTATTTAACAAAAGAAAAATCAAGTATGTGTATCTGTGCATAAACACAATACCTATAACAATTAAAACAATATCAACTGATTTATTTAAATAGCAAGTATATGTAAATGTAATGATAATATTATTCATACCAAACATTTAAAAAAATTATGTACATATTAAGATTTAGATATTGTTAATTAATACATTTACAGCCTAACAAATGTCCTCCACTGCTGAACATAGACCTCCCACACAGTTTGTCTCCAAATAACTGCAGTTGCCAATTCTCCTGCCAAGCTAGGCAACTATCACAAAACCCATAACTTTTGATACTGACTAATGGTAATGGTAAGTATATTATCATCAAATTTTTTCTACATCATTAATTGAGAATATTATCTTATGTTGTTGTGTTATTGTGTACCTTAAGATTAAGACTTATTTATTATTTTATCTATATTTATATCTATTTTTATATTAGCATGACATTTTTTGAATAAATATTGTAATGTAATTGTTGCTAATCTATAATAGAATGAATGGAATGCAATAAAGTTTTGTGCATCTGATTTCAAGCAATACATATTTTGTGAAATTAAATATACTTTGCCCAATATTTATGTACTTGAATCCAAACATGTTTTCAGCTTGATACTTACATATTATTTGTGAAGTCTATGTAATATAGAAAATGATTGAAGAGTTGTAGGGCAATAAGGACTTTCCTTTAAAGCTGAACATAAAAGTGTATACATATAACATTATGTGAATCATATTTATGGATATAACTACTAATCACAATAAATATTATTATTGAACAATGCGAAAACTTTATTGTACTCGCTGATATCCCTAAAGTTTCTATAATCCTACCAAATCAAAAAGTACACGTTTGTTATGACTTTAAGCTTTCGAATGACCGTTCAAATTAAGGAGCATTATCGTGAAAAATTTACAATTTGGGAATCTAAATATTTGACAAAATACATCACAAAGTTCATTAAAAACATGAAATGTTACACTTTATATTCAAAACAATAGATATTAATCAGTACAAATAGCAAATGTAAGCACAAAACAAACTTACCGATGAAAGGTGATATTATCAATTTTTCGTTGACTGATGCTGTTGCATCCTAAAATGCTACAACTTACCATCTTTTTCACCTTACCTAATAAATAAGATCCACAAAAAACACTAAATTCAATTACCTGTTTGCTTATAATATCAATATTATTCAAAAGAGCTTGACATCGTTAATGTCAAATAAAGGAGGGAAAACAATCAAAAACGCATACCTAGAAAAAGACATGAAATATAGATTTGCTTCTCCCTTACTCTTATGTCTAACTATATACGTGCATTTCTTTCACACGCTGATGACGTCACTGAATGTTTAGTCTATAAGATACTATGTCTATGTATTGTTTTGTAGACAAGTATGCAATTATTTTTTATCTCCCTAGTTAACACAGAAAAATAATCAAAAATAGATATTAAAATGCTCAATTTAATCGAGAATCGATTATTATATTATAGATATTATGTAATAAACAATGTTGAATAAAAATCATTCTATTCTATAAAAATATCACAATATCGAAAAAGCAGCAATTTATTACAAATTTCCAAACATTGCATGTGGGTAATTTTTTTCCAGAATAAGCATTTTGTAGGTTGGCTAACTAAGGACTCTCTTTTTACTCTTTGACTTTATGATTAGTTAGGTACAAATGTTATTGACTCTGCATCGTTATTTGCTATGATTATGTAATGTTTTCAGGATGGGATGTCACAACTGAACATAATTATTGTAAAGTGCAAGATGACGATGATTTCACAGAAGCTGTGGTAGTGATTAGAAAGCCTGGTATGTACAAATATCTTAATTGATGTTAATTGTAAATTATAGTAAACATATTATGATGAACACTGTGATTTGATGTATTTAAATTTCAGTCAGTGGCAAATTTTTCAACATTTTGAATAATGTTTTCAGGAAGTGATGTTACGATTGAACACAATTACTGCAAAGAGCAAAATGATTGTTCCAAATCATCGGTAGAGATTGGATCATCAGGTGTGTACTAATATTCATGTAGTACTAGTTACTAAGTAGCAAAAAAAGCTTTCTAACTATTTCATAAATTTACTAACCGTTCATTTTCTAATAATGTGTTTGCCTTATCATACTGACATCTATAAAAATGCAAAATTGTAACAAATTTCAGATGTTGGAAATTCTCATGAACAGCCTTCATGTTCAAATTTTTCAACTGTTGCAACAGTTGTAGAAAATAAAGGTATGTGAAATTGTATTGGACATAATTTTTTATACATTTATGTAGGGATCAAATCAAAAGAAGTACTTATATGTCGGGTAATAGAAAAAATACTTTAAATGCTTATAAACAGGCTGTGGACTGAAGGTGTCACTGCATACCTAGAACTGCATCAGTTCTAGAGGATAGTTATGTGTATTTGATACTAGACACTAGGATAATATTGCATGCCTTAAGTGCAAAGCACGTAGGTATGTTCTACTAGCGCCTAAAAATCAAGATTTCAACGTTTTGTTGCATGAAATCGTATCTAACAATTATATTTGTTTATTTTTCAGATACATTCCTGGAGCAACCTCCAAGTGCAAGTACCAAAGGCATGGAGATAGATGTTCTCGAAGAACTCGTAGGTTTGTCTGCTTATACTAAACTAACTTTTATTAACAGTAGCTAGATTTAATGTAGACATACAATACAGAGAAGCATACATTGTAAATTTGTTATTTAATATTGAGTTTATGTTTAAGACCATAACATTCATAACTATTGCTTCTTTTCAGGAATTGATTCTAATGTTAATGTGGTGAATCAAATGTTGCCAAAAGGTAGCACATGTACAAAAAAGCAAAAAGGTATTATAAATTCAGTTTATTCTTAGACATAATTAGAAAAAGTTTCAATATCTACCTCAAATCACAATAAGAGTTCTTTGTTCTTCATCTAATCCCAAAATTACAGTTCCACTACACTTCAATGGTTTTATCAACAACTCCTTTACTGTTAAGGTTACATTTCTCTGGAAGTCTTCCCCTGATGACATCCACACTATTTGTTATCTTTTCAAAGTGAATACATTAAAAGTTTAAAATAACAATATATAAATAATAAATTAATATTTTTAAGTGTATCATTCATAAAATATGAATATAAAACTTAATTATTTTATTTATTTCACTTCAGGTTCGGTGAAGAAAATAGTATCAAGGAAAAGAAAATTGGTTAAAATTTTGACTAATATTGCAACTGAAACTTTAAGTGACTCAGTATCACAAAGACTTGATCAAGCCCAATCCCTATCAAGAAATAAAGACCTTTTGGAAAACTTTTATTTGTTAAACAAACAAGCGCAGACTTTCTTGTTTATGCAATTAAAACAAATTCATAAAAGCAAAATGGCCAGAAGGTTTACCTTAGATGAAAAATTAATGGCGTTGCTCATAATGAAACAAAGCCCCAAAAGTTATAAACTATTAGAAAAAATGTTTGCCTTGCCTAGTAAACGGACATTAAATAGACTTTCTGAGAAGGTTTCAATACAACCAGGACTCAATCCATTAATATTTGAACATATATCAAATACAACCAAAAAATGGGACACTAAACAAAAGCTATGTACAATCGTTTTTGACGAAGTCTCTCTAACACCACATTTAACTTTTAATGAAAAAGATGATATAATTAATGGGTTTGTAGATATAGCTGGAGAGAGAAAACTGAAATATTGTGATCATGCTTTAGTTTTTATGCTAAGAGGAATATGCTCTCCATGGAGACAGAGTGTAGCATTTTATTTCTGTGAAGGCACAGTATCAGCAGCAGAGCTGCAATGCATTTTAAAACAGATTGTGCCCCAAGTGATACGAACTGGGTTAATACCTTTAGGTCTTGTTTGTGACCAAGGGTCCACATTTCGAACAGCAATAAGAAGACTTAGGGAAGATACAATTCGTAGGCGGAATATTCAAGGTGTTCATGATGGTGTGTACCATTATTAATTACTTAAAAACTAGTTCTACTTCATGACAAATATTATATATTTTAATTATTTTACAGATGGATCGGTTAATATTGCTGATCACGATTTAAGCATATTTTTTGACCCACCTCATCTCTTAAAGGGTTTAAGGAATAATTTTTTAAATAAAGATATAATTTGGGAAGAAAAAACTGCCTCTTGGAAAGATATTGAGTTCATTTTTGATTTGGATAGCAAATTGGGGCACACAAGGGCACTACCAAAGTTAACGGCTCATCATGTTGATCGCCAAAAGATCAAAAAAATGAAGGTCAGCGTAGCTGCTCAAGTATTTAGTGCTCGAACTGCTGCTATGCTCAAATATACAAATGCACTCAGTAAGTAACGATTGCTATATTGATTTGTAGGCTTATTCAATTTATGTATATACTATTGTAAAATTTGACCAGAAGTCTCAATTTGTAAAAAAATCAATTTGTAAAAAAATGGTTAAAAAAGTCTGTTGTTGTAACCAAATAAGAAGTGTCTTTTTGGCGAAAGATTTGCAGGTACAACTGTAAAAGAAATTAAATTAAAAAGTACTTTTTTCTTTTCAGATTATTTTCATACTGCAAACTCTGACGCAACAATGGCCACAACAGCAGAAGTTGTTGAATTCTTCGACACACTGTTTGACAGCGTCAATGGCTACCCGGGTGGTGTGCAAAGAGGAAAGTTAAGACGAGCGGTTAAACAAAATTCACAACATCACACTTTTTGGATTGAGGCCATTAATAAAATTAAAAAAATGGTTTTTGTAGACACCAGTAGCAAACATGCTACAAAAGCAGGAAAACCTCGACTTGTGCGAGTGCCATCCCAACAAGGATGGATTACAACTCTTGAAAGTTTTATAAGGGTCTCCAAATTGTTATTTGAACAGTATAATGTAGAATATTATTATCCGAGGAATATTAATCAAGACCCATTAGAAAATTTTTTTGGCCGTATAAGAGCTATAAATTATAGAAATGTTAACCCAGATGCAAACACATTTATATATGCCTTTAAATCTTTGATGTTATCTAACATGCTTAGTCCACATTCCAAATTCTCTAACTGTGAAGAGGATAATGGAGAAACATTATTAAATGTTAGTCTTTTTTTTAAAAACCTTCATAATAATAAAGAAAATGACTCGGAAAACACTGTCAGTATTTCGCGAGATCTCCCATCTTCTTCACAAGCAAGTTCAAGAGAAAAGTTGCTGGTGAATGATGTAGTCATGGAAAAAATCAAAGTCCACTGCTCAGCTTACACTGCTGGATACATTTGTCGGAAAATAACGAGAGCGATTCGTTGTAAGGATTGCATCAAAACATATATTAGCAGTACGGAGACAAACATTCACTCTTACATTAAATTTAGAGAGTATAAATTGTTAAAAAATAATAATTTGGCATACCCTAACGAAAAATTCCTTATCTTGTACAGGGATGGTACTCACTTTATTCATAACTATTTGAATTATAGCTGTATTGGAAGTAATATAAAAAGTAATTTGAAAAGAAAAATATTGAGCACTTTGAGTTTTTCCTGCCTAGGGTGTGATAAGCATGCCTTAATTGTAAAAAACTTTTTCACCAATATTTTAATTAGATTACATGGACACAATTGGTGCAACATAAACAATAAAATATTGAAGGGTGATATTGGTGAAAAATATGTATCTAAAATGGGTGAACCCCAAAAATTGGCCTTAAAGAAGTATAAAAGTCTTAGGTTAAGAAAAAAATGTTTAAGTAAATAAAATGTTGATGAAGTGACGACCTGGATATGCAGGTGGCTTAGGACCGTGCTTTGTGACATTTCTTGGGGGAGGCCTACGTTTAGCAGTGGACTTGTGAAGCGCTGTAATGATGACGGTGGTTAAATAGAATGTTCGGATTCCTGAAACGTAAACTCTGTTTCAGGTCCCCGCAAACCAAGTATATAACGAGGCGATATTGCGAATAGCTATGTTGTGTGTGCCGGACAGGTACGTGTGGTGCCGGAAGCGGCCCCCACCATTCGATACACCGCGCGCACGTACCTTCCAAACGAGGCCCACTGACCCGAGTGCTGCACACTAAATAAAGTAGCTCAGGATGTAGATTTATTCTGCTGTTCCTTGGGTGAATTTACCTAAGTGACATTATATTATGTATTATGTTATAATAGTAGATAAGTTGTGTTCTGTCCTTATTAAATTAGATAGTTTTATATGCCTACACTGTCGTATTAGGTACGCCTGTAAAGACAGAGGTAGAAATAAATAAATAAAGTTACTCCCTAAAAATTTCTGGTCTGTAGCAACCTAGAATATGCTTCTATAGCGCGGAGTCGATTTTATGCTACATTACGCTATTAGCATCTTGAGCATACTTGTTATTTTTAATGTTGATGTCGATATTTGTTTATTTTTCAGATGCTTATCACGTAACAACCTCCAAGTGAAAGTACCAACACCAAGGAGATAAATGTTCTTTTTAAAAGTAATTTATGTTACCATATAACTTAGTTATATGATAATATAGATTACTTTTTAATTACGATTATACTAAACTGTCGTTAACAGTAGCCATACAGAGTTAATACATACAATATAGATGTATACATTATATATTTATTCTTTAATTTTGGGTTTATGTATAAGAGCATAAAATTCACAAATATTGTTTGTTTTCAGGAATAGAAATCTGATGTGAAAAGCTGATGTGGTGAGACAAATGTTGCCAGAAGATACAAAATGTACACATTGGCAAAATGGTATGATAAATTCAGTTTATTCTTATACATAATTAGGCAAAATTTCAACATATCTATTATATCTATATTCAGCATATCTATCCTCAAATCACAATAAGAATTCTTTATTCTTCATCTAATCTAAAGATTACAGTTCCACTACACTTCAATGGTTTTATCAACAACTCCTTTAGTATTAAGTTTACACTAATTTGGAACTCTGTGCCTGAAGACATTGAGAAAGCTCCTGATAATGGATGTATACAATGTAAATATTTATATATTTTTTATTTCTTATTTACTGCATCTATCACTTTATTTTCACCACACCATGGCTGACCGAAAGAAAATGCCAACTGCCATGAAGCCCTATTTTACCTTAATATGAATAATATATGATTTATGATTATCATTCAGTCATAAAATATGAATATTGGACTTTATTTTTATTTATTTCTTTTCAGGTTACGTGGTGAAGAAAATGAAATAAAAGAAGAGATGTTAAAATTTTAAAAAAAGGTTGTAACTTGTGTGCAAAAAAAAGGGTGAACAATCCTCACAAAGACTTGCTTAATGTCCAATCTATTTTAAAACTGTAGAGAACTATTTGAAAACCTTTATTTTATGTTAAACAAATAACTTTCTTATTAATACAATTAAAATAATTTTGTAAAAAAAATGGCCAGGCCAAAAAAGTAACTTGAAAAGTAAAATATTAAGCACTTAAATATGATTCATGTGGTTTAATTTGCTTTATTTAATGAACTATAAATATTGCTCTGTTTCTCGTCAAATTGTACTTATTTATGCACAATGTTATGTACGATTTTCTAATTTGTTTATATAACTTAATGTGCCTTTAATTTAATCCTAAAATTACGTATGTATATGATGTAGGTGTGCTTGAATAAAAAATAAATGTTAATGTATTATAAGTGTTTCATTAAGTAATATTATTATTCCTGTATAATGCACTTCTGTCGATATCGATAAAATAAGAACACCACTAAACATCGATATCGATGATTTGAAGGATGTGTGCTTGCAATCTCTAAGCTATATTTTTTTTTATTACTCATCTGTCAAAATGGGCGACTGCAGCGCCAAAACGCATAGTTGGAAAACTTGACTAAAAGTAACCAAAAGTAACTGTCGTATCTGTAGCTTGCTACATATATATTTATCTATGATTCTGTGTTTCAGCTTGTCATGCGGCATGCGCATTTGGCATTGTAGCTGTTTTTTTTGGATAGATTTCGTGTTTTTACTTTCGTGGATTTATTTAACTTGGCTCTTGGATTTTCTCTCGGATCACAGGACAGTAGTGTGTTGCGCCCATATAATGAAAATAATGTGATACTTAAGTTTTGAGAGGAATAGAACAGACAATGTACAGCCTCCGGCTGTATTTTTAGATGATTTTATTAATAATTGCAGAAAATAGTTAAACAATTTATTTTATTATTCTACTGTATATTATTTTATTATATTAGTTTTATTTTACTTTATAAAATAATAACTACAAAACTGCATTCTTTTGTTTTTTCAATTTATTCAAACAACCTATCACAAAAACGAGTGATTTTATTACATAACCTACAAATCATAAAACAAAATAAAAACAAAAAACCCCAGGCCCGGCAAAAATATGATTTTTAGATATAAGTATTAAATATTTAAATCTTCAAACTAACACATATTTTAAGTTTGTTCACGCCGGGCCCAAGCTTGTATGGAATCAAGTTCATCTCCTTTCGAGATATTATATTCTATATATTTTCTGTCTATATATTTTTTAACTTTATAACACTTATAAAAGCTTTTAGAAAAATTTACTTCGCAAATATTCGCGTCATAAAATAAAATGATGTGTCTTACCTAGTATGAAGAGCACCTCCCGCCCTCTCTCAATTGCGTGCACTATCCCCGTCACCACTAATCCCAGCACCGCTACTCCCAATACCACTACACTAGGCTAGACACACCACCGACGATAATACGACACGTGTTTCGCCTCTACACGAGGCATCCTCAGGTGATATAGACTCTACGGTGGCCACAAACTATATAGAAACACTGACGGTGGCTAACCGCTAAGCGTTAAGTGAGCGGCGACCCAAAACAAGTGCCTTTTATACAGACCGATGACGCAACTTTACTGTTCATACTAGGTAAGACACATCATTTTATTTTATAACGCGGATATTTGCGAAGTAAATTTTTCTAAAAGCTTTTATATAATGGATTTCCGCAAAGTAACGCCTGATTCTATTAATTATTTTTAACACTTAATTAAAGGTAACAACATGTGTAAAACTAAATAATTTAAAAAATCCCAACTAAAAAAACTACTTATCAGAAAAATCTAAATTTTTATATATACATTAAATACAATCCTCTTAATACTATTTTGTTATAAAAACTAAAAATTTCAGTTTCCTTTTTGAGTAATTAAATTAAATTACTTAAGTTAAGTGGCTAAAGAATTTTATTTCCAAAAATTGCTCCCGGCTCCTCTCCGCGTTTACTAACAGAATGCGACTTCAAAAACAGCCACACGATTCTGCATCACAGAACACGTGCCCACGTGGTACTTGTATTTTTGCATTTTCTCCGAAAGTATAATTCATACACGTCTCAAATTTTGCACATATGTAGGGACCACTAATAGCTTTAAAGCCGAAGTATAAAAACTAGAGGTCTTCGATTTAGTTTTTGATTTATTTAATTGTCAAATTTTGCAAAAATTTAAAACATCAATAATTCTTGAACCACTTAACTTATGAAAGTTCCGAAAATTGCTCCAGGCTCCTCTCTGCGTTTGCTACCAGAATGCGACTTCAAAAGTAGCCGCACGACACTGCGTCACAAAACACGTGCCCACGTGGCACTTGTTTTTTTGCGTTTTTCTCCGAAACTATCACACAGAAAATCTAAAATTTTGCACATTTATAGAGGTCAATAATACCTTCTAAACCACACTTTAAAACGTTGGGGTAAAAGCGCTTAATCGCACAGCGTTCCGCTTCAAAGATTTTTCACTTTTTGAAAATCACTTTTTTTCACAATAACTCCTTAACCACAACTCCGATTTTCTATCACTTTTCACTTTATTGAACCGCAAGACGAGACGCGTCTTTTGGTATATCGGACACGAAAATTGGATGCAAAAAACCTATTTTTCCGAATTTTTAAGCGCGGAGCAACTCAAAAACGTGACGTTCGGGACGGCAGTTGACACCGGACCGACACCGGACTCAGTAGGTTATGTTTCAAGATGAACGTAGTGATTTGCTTATGAACACAGGCTTCTAAAACTTTAGAGAGGAACGGCAGAATTGATATAGGGCGAAAATGGCTGGGAAGGATAGGAGCAGGTACCTTATCTATAAGCCTTTTTCCAATGACTAGGATATTGACCCGAGTCAAGGGAAAAATTTATAATGTGAGTAATTGCCGGGAGAAGAGGATCTAAGAAGAAGTGACGACCATTTGTCTGCTTATTTCATCGCAACCCAGAGCCTTACACTTGATTGCTAAAATAAACTTCTTGATTTCATCCTGATCGACAGGAGAGAACATGAATGCTGGAATGTGAGGAGATTGCATTGATGCAATAGCATTTAAAGTGTCAGTTCGGACTAAAGGATCCATTGCTTTGAAGGAAGCGAAATGTTGATTAATCTCATCGAGAGATATCGAAGGACCACAGTCCAGCGTGAATGGCCTGCCAATACCCACAGTTCTGAGGAATATCCACACTTCGGTAGGAGATGAATCATTTATACAGTTATGAAAATATCGGCGTTTAGCAGTACGTACCATCTGATTACACCTATTCCTGACAGATTTAAAGATTAACCAATTTTCTTCAGATCGTTCCCTCTTGAATTTAAGAAAGGCTCGATTCCGTCTAACCATTGCCATTCATACGCCCTCAGTCATCCAGGGAGCGGGAGGACGCTTCAACCTGACGTTATGGACAGGAGCATGAGCATCAAACAACCTGAGAACTTTATCATTAAGAAAAGAGACTTTACCGTCAATTGTAGGTTCTGCTACCACACAAGTTAAGTTGAGATTTCGAGCGTCACTCATTAGCTTATCGTAGTTAATTTTAGAGAAATTGCGTACAGGCAGTAAGGGACAAGAGCGCTTTGGTGGTTTGAGCTTATAAGAAGCATATAAAAGGTCATGACGCGAAAAAACCAAAGCAGGCAACTGTCCGTGTGACACGACATACTCAGGAAAAGCAGCAAGAATAAGATCAATTATGGAGTCATTGGTATCGACATTGTGATGAGTAGCCCCTATTGGGAGAAAGGTAAGATTGACTGACTCCATGATTGATTGAAGTTTTTGAGAACGAAGAGGAATCTTCAACAAATCGGTATTAAAATCCCCCATGATTATACAGTGTGTATACTCAGAACAAACGTCATCAAGAGCCATTTCTAAAGTGGCGAAAAAATCAGAGGAGGGCGGGCAATACACAACTCCTAGAAGCATCCTTGCGCCTTTGACATCAAGATCCAAAAACAAATACTCCGCTGAGCCTGAGTAGCAAGATGGAGAAGCTAACACTATTTTATGCGGAACCGAAGCACGCAAATAGATAGCCACCCCACCGCCTTCTTTACCAGTGCGATCATTTCTTATGAGCACATAACCTGGCAAGGGATATAAAGTTGAATGCAAGGATGGCTTTAGCCAGGTCTCTGACACTAGAATTGCATTAACATAATTTAAGGAGAAAGACAATTCGAGTTCAGAATAGTGGCAAGGGATGCTTTGAGCGTTAATGTGACATATGTTAAAAAAATTATCACAAGTTGAAAATACCCCTTCCAGTAGATCATGTAGATTACACCCGCTATCACTAAAATAATCATTACTAGAATTAAAAGAAAGAAATGAATCATCTGCAGAATAAAAAGATTCTACATCAGACATATAGACATATAGACAAAGATTTATTCTATTACTCGGGTTATTACATTCTTTGCGGGTTTCTTTTCGATTTGTTTTAACGATAATTTAATTTGAGACTTGTAAATAGAAAAAAAAAACAACAACAACTTTACATTAGCTTACTCTGCTCCTTCTGTTTTCGATCTTTGTTTTCTTTTATTATTTATAATAAATAGTAAAATGAATACTCGCAACGCCAAGACGCGCCAGATGGAGAACCAACTCCAGCTTGCGCTCCAAGAACTTAAGGCGTCCAGGGAGCAGTGTGAACTGTTGCTTAAGGAAAGGGATGATAATGAAAGGGAAATAGTTAGCATAATTGCCAAAAATACACAATTGAAATGTGATATCGTTAAGTTTCATACAGAATACACAAGTGTTATAAAAGAAAGAGATCAGCTACAGGGAACGGTTAATGAGTTTGACCAATGCAGCAAGGAATATGAGGAAGCTCTCAGGTTAATTTCTGCATTGAAGTTACAGTTGAATGAGGCTAATGAGCAAATAACACAATTTAAAACATATATAGATAACCTTAACGCCTCCCAGACTCAAAGCCTGTTCTCTGAGCTTGTGCAATGTGATACTTCAAGAATGTTACAGCAATCTGCAACAATAGACTTTACTGGTGACGGCTCTTCCACTTCAGGAAACACAGTAAGGATTAATTGCAGTAAAACCAAATTGAAGAAGTATATAAAAGTTAATAAGTACATAAGGAAAGTACAAAAATTAATAAGAAATAAGATTAATACCAAAAATTATGTTAATGTATATAAAGAAAAGCAAGCATATGAACTTAAGTTGTATTCAATTGAGGTGGATAACATAAAAAAATGTTATGAGACTGAAGTAGAGTGCCTTAAATCAGAAATATTATCACTTATGAACTCCCTTCAAACTGTGTCCAATAAATATAAATCAGCCCAAAATGAAATAAAAGAACACATATTGGCTAT